AAACAGCACTACTCTTCAGTAGTGGACACAGAAGCAGAACTGTATGCCAGAACATGATTCTGAAACACAGAGTCAGATCAGGAAAGAAATAACGTCAGGAGATCACTGGAATGAAGGAGAGGAAAAAAAAAAAAAAAAAAGTTTTCCGGAGCTGAACAAGGACACAGGTTTCTCGTTTCTAGAGAGGAAAACTGAAAGAAACCCATGAAAAAATCCGGACAGAATTGTGTGTCAGCATCCTTCAGGATTATTTTTTGCTTTTTAAAAATAAAATCAATTAAATAAAACCAGTCCAGGATGATTGCACTCCCCGCCCTGTAATTTACCAATGCTCGAAAATGACTGGTCAAAATGTCAAGAACAGTTTCACCAAAAGGTTAGAGTGTTTTTTAAGTCAGTTTTGTTAAATGTGGTAAAGGTGAAACAGGTTGCAAAGAGTTGTTTCAAGCAGAATGACAATAACCAACATACGAAGCAGAAAAACACTCATAAATGAGGGCTCCAATCAATGGGAAAACTTATAGCTCCCTAATGAAGTTTCTTGTGAAAAGGAAGGCGACACAAAGCCACCGAGACATGAATCATTCATGGGAAATATAAAAGATAAAAGATATCTGACAATGAGCAGAACCTTGTATAGAGTGTCTAAAACAAGTTTCCCCTTCTTATTTTCTGCTTCCCCCCCCTCCAGCCTCCCTCTCCTAGTGTTCCCTGCCCGCCCTATAGAGTTAACATTGACCAGTGCACGTCCTGCCCCACTTCAAAGTAATTTAGCCCAGAACGGAAGGCTTGGCGCTTGGACAATCTTCATGGTGTGTTAGGATTTCTATGGCAATTGGCAAGCAAGACGTTCCCATCTGAATATGGCTCAAAGAAAGCCACTTATTGACACCGAGTTGGCCATCATCAAAGACTTCATCTTTTCCTAGGCGAAACGTGGTCCTAGCAAACACTGTTTAAATCATCTACCTTTGTAGTCGCGGCTGGGAGACATCTCGCCACACACTATTGCTGGCGCTCGGCCCTTTAAAGGCGAGAGCGGCGGTCGCGAAGTTTGAAGGGGCTCAGAAATTTCGGGAGTGTGGGAAATGGCATCGCGGGGAGGGGGGCTGTGGATATGGATAAGCGGGGGAGTTCTCGGCGGAGAGCCACGGGGTGCGCCCCTGACCGCACCCGCCACGGGCAGGGTGCGGGACGCAGCGGGACCGGGATAGGGTCTTGCTTTGCTTTACAAGAGGTGGGTGGTGGGAGAACCAAGGATTTTGAGCGTTTTTCTCCGCGTGTTTCGTGCTTCTAGAGATGTCGCCAGGGAGTTGTGAAGTGCTGGGAAGGACGGACTGTCACGCACTTTCCCCCTCCCCTCCCCCATCAGAAAAATATTTCCAGGTAGAGTGGACCAGGAGGGATCAGGGAGTATGCTGGCACACAGACCGAACTCGCACACGGACACAGACGCTCCCCCCTGGCTCGGGCACCCAAACGCCGGCAGGGCACTGCCCTAGCTCCCCCCCGCATCCCGCGTACCGCCAGCACACACAACCACGCTCCCGCATTCACACACACACCACGCAAGTGCCTAATCAGGCAGGGAGAAGTTCAAAGGCAGGTTCTTTGAAATTCAAACTACTGCTTTTATGGTACATCAACATGGAGCGTTAGGATTGCTATGGCAATGAGCGCAGCAAAAGCAAGCTGCATTTAAAATAGTCCACCTCGATTCGAGACACTCTATTAAGATACAGTTGCATTGACCTTTAGTTTCATGCCGTGTTAGCGCAGTCAATTTTCACTTCATCAGAACGTCTCATATTTTTTGGTCTCTCTCCCAACACCCCCTACTCTCCTCTTCTTCTTTTTTTTTTTTTTTTTTTTGGACCCCCCCCCAACTTCAGTAGATAAACAAACAAATAAGCGGAGAAGAAGCTCCATCTCCAGCTCTTCTTGTCTTCTGTTTCACTCTTTTTTTTTTCCTCCCACCTAAGCACTTTTATTTGCAGAGCGATTGTTCTTTGTTTATTTAATACAAGTACTGTGTGAATGGTGAAAAATAAACACGATGAAAAATAACCAAACAGATGATTCCGCCAAGTGAAAAAGCCCGGACTTAATAAAAGTGCGAAGCAGTCACCGTTGAATGAGAAATCCTTTGAAGTGGAACTTATTATAGGAAGAATACTTTTTGGTTTCCCTAACGACGCTGCTGAATTGAAAGGGCTCGCCTTTGTCAACGATTTGTTCTCCTTTGCCGGGATGCCCGCTGAAATTACTTACATGGGCTGCCTTAACATGCAGCCTGCAAATCAGTAACTTTGCAGCTCAGACTCGCAGACGCCGCTCTCCTAAGGACAAAAAAAAAGTCAGGAGGAAAACACCCCAACCTTTCACTCAGCCTCTTATTTTGGGGGGTGCGGGGAACGGAGGGAGAAAAGAGGGTTTGGGAGGAGGGGGAGAGCCCAGTGTATCCGTGTAACAACACCCCCCACCCCTCCATCCCCCGGCTCCCCCGGCCGGCCCCGCGCGGCGGCAGAGCACCCGGAGCGGGACCGTCCTCCGCTCAGTCCCGGCCCCGGCGGGAGCAGGGGGGCGGCGGAGCTCCTCCGGCAGCACCGTGCCTCTCTTTCCCCCACCCCCGCTCCCCCTTTTTTCTCGTCTGCCAAGTGATTTTCCCAGGCAGAGACATATTTAATAAGGGTCGTTTATTACGAAGGCGCTTTGAAGGGTCGCCCCTGAAGCCCTGTGTCCATTAAAAACATGGAGGTGACATTTAAACCTCGTTTTAAAGGAGCTCTGGCGTAGTTCAATGAAAGGCAACTCGTTTGTCTTATGAGCTTGGAAACAACCTCCCTTCTTCTCCTTTTGACCACATGGCATAACTCAAAAACAATAGTTCAAAAGTAAAATGGCATCGTGGTGTTCAGCCTCAGACAGGCACCCATCTAGCAGGAGAGAAAAGGGATAGTCCATAACACAATGTGCTTTTTGTGTCCGACTCTGTCACAAGGATTTCGTTGTTTGCTTTAGAGGCTGCGCCTGTTATACTTTCTTGAAAGTGCTTGTGTTAAACAAGAGTTATAAGTCATCCAAAACAACAAACATTTTGATTTTCTTTGCCTAAAGGGTTTTCCCTGGCCATGGGCACCGTGAAAAAATAATGTACTTGCTGAGAAAGGAGCACCAGTAGTAGCATTACAAGCACAGTGCATTAAATATTGAATGACACGAGGAAAAAAAAAGAACTTGTCGAGGGGCACTCAGCCTTAAAGTCTTTCTTCAACTTTGTCTTCAGTGCCTGTTGGACTATTTAAGATGGTGTTAATTAAGGGCTGCATCTGATTCCACTAGCCCCCAGCTTTGTCTCTTTGCAGCGTTCCCGTCAATAGCCCCTCTCAACTGCGGGCTTTCCCCACACGTTGGTTTAGTGGTGCATGTGTCACTTCTTATTTCGAGGCTGAAGAGAAACCCGGATCGTGCATTAAGGGCAAAGGGGATATAGTAATCAAGCAGTATTGTGGGGCTGGGGTGGGGAGGCACGGCGGGGCAGGGGCAAGAGGAGGAGGATGTGCGGCCAGGGCTGGAGCAGGGCAGCAGGGAGCGGAGCCGGGGCACGGCGCCGGGGTGAAAGCCTGTTTGCACATTGCCAACAGCCTGTTTGGCAAACAAGAGGCTGGCGAGCTTAATTTGTTTCAAATTAATCGTTTTCCACGGGGGAAAAAAAAAAAAAAAAAAAAGATAGAAAGAAAAGAAAGTAAAACCACGCGCCAAACAGCCCTCCCCAAAGTCCTGCAAATGAACAGGAGGAACCGCCTCAGGTCCCGCGGCAGACCCGTGTGCGAGCCCATGCATTCCTGCGTGGGGTGCCGTGGCATGTGCCTGTGCACCTTCCTGCTGTACCCCGGCCGCATGCGGGCAGATGCTGGCGCTTCCCTTGGCGGGCCCCCTAACTGCGCTCGTCCCCTGGTGTGGGACAGCCCCGAGTGTGCGCTGGGCAGCGGAGCGGGACAGGGCAGAGACCCCGGCAGCCATGGAAGTGGGGGGACACATACGCTTGGGGACATTCGTCGGGGCGCTTCACTCTGCATTTATCTTTTCGCATTTAGGGACTCGCCGCTTCCCATCTCCGCGGGGAGGACTGAGCCACCCCGCATTTTGGGGAGAAGCCGTTCCTGGGCCAATCCCTGCGCCCCTGCCGCCGTGGGCGCAGCTCGAACCGCGGTGGAGCGTCTCGCCCCTCCCTCCCCGGAAGCGTGGAGGCAGAGAGGGGCTCTGCCCGTGGGGGGTATCGCCTCCGCGCTCCGCAAATACCAGTAGCGGGGGCGCAAATTGGGGGGCGGCTCCGCTTTTCTCACCGACTCCTTTTCAACCTGCCAAAGGTACCGATCGTTAAAAGCAAGGAGGCGCAGAGGAATCCTTCGCAGATGTGTGTGTGGGGGCGTGTGCCCCTGTTCCATCCGGGGTCAGCGGAGACCCACTGCCCCCATAGTGCACTCAGAGCTGAGGTCGAGTTAGGGGCCCCCCTAATTGGAGGCGGAGTGGGGGGGAGAAATGGGTCACTTCGGCTCTGCCCTTCCCGAGGGACGAGGAGGGGAAAGCTAAACGTGGGGCTAGGAAACCCAATAGCCGGATTTTGTTCGTCGTCTTCTACTTTTTTTTTTTTTCAATCTCTATGCTCCCCCTCTCCTCCTCCTCTTCCTTTCACTCGGTAAGCCCGTCCAAAGCGTTCCAAATGGCCTTTCAAACAAGAAAACCCTTCAAGGAAAAATGGGCACACATCCCCCTCCAGGCACCTTGCCAAAATCTCCCAAGCACCCTACCTGGCATCCTAGCTTAAGTTTCTTCAAGAAGTGTGTGTGTGTGTCTGAATATGCGGGGGTGGGGGAGGTTCGGGAGCCGGGGGTGGAATTACAGCCGTCCTGTAGTGGTAGACACAAGTTCAGAGCTCCACTTCCCCCTCTTTAATTAGGCTGGGGAGAGCCGCGGAGGCGCCTGGTTGAGGTGCAAGCGAGGAGGCCGGGCCGAGCGAGTGAGTACTCAGCGCAGCCCCGACGGGACGGGGATGGGCGCCGGGAGGGAGCCGGGCCGGGGGGCTCCGGGCTGAGGGGGATGGAGCGAACAGCCACCCCCCGGAGAAGGGATGCGGGGGCGGGCGAGGGGGGTGGGAGTTTGAGGGTGGGAGCTGTGGGCCGCAGGTGTGCCAGGGGGACTTGCCTCCCCAAACTTGCGGTGCGAGTTTGGGGAGGCCAGTGCCGGTGTTGCAAAAGTCAGCCCGACCCAGCTGTGACTTCACCTATTAGCCCCGATGTCTTTCCGAGGAGATTGGCGGAGTTAAACATCCCACAATGGGCGCTCTGGGGCGTCTCCAGCCTGACCTCTACCCGGTTTTAATAGTTTCATAGGAACTTCATTAAATCAATTACTTAGTGAGCACATCATCATTTATTTGTAATTAGCACTGAAGAGCTTGATTTTTGCAGCAGCCCACAGCCCGGTTCCCAGCGGGGTTGACCATGTACTACAAGCACTTTTGTTTGCTGTGTGTGTTGACTCGTGGTATTATTCTGCCGCCACAATAAAAGTGTAATCTTCACGTCTTAATCTAGCGTTCAGGGGGGAAAGGAAAACAAACACGGCACGGACGAGGCACTGGTTCCCCATCTCCATGTTACCCCCGGCCCCGGGCTGCCAGCCCCACTGCGAGCAGCCGGGCGCGGTGCGGCGGCGTCTCCCGGGGCGTGCGGCCGGGAGGCGGGACGGGAGGGTGGGACGGAGGCCGGGGCCGAAGGGGGGGAAAGGGAGGAAATGGGTCATCCGCAGCCAGGACAAAAGGGAGCAGCTCGGTGCCTTGAAGGGCATGAAATAAGGGTTGCAGCTGCGAATCGGCTGCCCGCGGCCGGGCAGGGCGTGGGCGTGTGTGTCAGGGGGGAACCAGCGGGCCTCAGCACTGCGGGGACAGCAAGGAGGCTTTGGTTTTGGGGACCGCAGGGCAGGAAAGGCCTCCTCGGATGTGGGGTGGACGTGACCGTTGTTGGGGGGCGTGGGGAGTAGGAGGGAGAGAATCATAAACTCCCCCACGTAACCAGCCAGGCCTCCTCGCTTTTCCCGCAGCCAGCACCTTGCCATCGCGGCCCCCACGAGGAGGCGGCTCACGCGTGGGGCGCCCCACGGCCGCCCCCAGGCGACAGCCCCTGCCCTTTTCTCCCACTGCAGAGGCTGCCATAGCCGAATCGCTGCGCATCTCGGCCGGGGCCTTTGCGGGGCCCGCCGGCGCTGTGAAGGGCAGGGATGCCAGGCGAACCCGAGGGGAGAGGGGCTTTGCAGCCCGCTCCCTCCTCGGGCTGTGCTGGCTCCCAGGAAGGCGCCCTCCTGGAGGGCTGGACTCTGGGGAATGGGATTGTTATGGGGTGTCTGTTTGCCGCCCTCTCACTTCCTTCCCAGAGCTAGGCGGGAGGTGTGTGTGTGGGGAGCTGAAGTCCCGTTAGAAGCGGCAGCACGCCCGCAAGCTCACGGGCTTATGCACCCCACGTTTAGCCAGTCGCGGGTGGGCACTGGGGCAAGGATCCACGGGGAAAACAAAAACAAGGAGAGCGAGTCATGCTGTATGTAACCCTGTACGGAAAGAGTACGGTGTTCGGCCCTGGAGACACCCCCACTCTTGGTCCTCGGGCGCTGCCCACATTTCGGCAGTTCACCTGCAGAGGGGCCCTCTCGACCCGCTGCCGCCCCGGATCTTCCTCACGGAGACCCGGCGAGGAGAACAAGAGGAACAGCTCCGCCCGTACTTGCCTGGGCCGGCGCCTCCCGGCTGAGGGGGTGGGGACGCTTCTTAATTTCCACCCTCGTCGCGGCGAGAGCCCGGGTCCGAGGCAAGGCAAGTGCGGGGGAGGGTGTAGATGTCACCCGCGACGGAGCCGCCCCTCACCGTGCCGTCGGGCATCTTGTCGGGGGCGGTGGGTCTCCGTCGGCCCCGGCCCGGGCCGTGGGGGAGCGAGGCTCGGAGCCCCTCAGCAGCAAGGGCCGAAGTGGGGGGGTCTGGTGGCTTTGACAGGGCAGGGGCTGCCGTGCGGGACCGCCGTGGCGGCTGCGAGGCCGTTCCCATACGAGTGATAAAACGGGGAGGGGAGCAAGGGGGCGGAAAAAAAACCCTCACGAAAACACTGCTCGGGATTCGTGCAAGTGCTGGGGGTTTCAGGAGGTTCTTAAAGTCACACGCATAGCATGGAAAAAAACCCTAAATACTACATGGGAGTTGGAGGGCACAGAGGTGCCTTACTGGCGCGGAGCAGCCAGGACGATGTGTGATTTTAATTGCTACGCATTTTTAATATTAGAGTACATCGAATATATCCAATGTCTTCTGTCCGAAAAAGGCCACCTGAGAAGCCGAACTGGGCGGGTTTGTAGCCAGGGTTGGCATAAATGGGAGTTCCCCCGAGATGGCACCGGGCAGGCGGTGAGCGAGGCTGCGCGGCTGCCGAGAGCGCTCCCAGCGCGGCAGCTTTCTTCTTGCCGGGCAGGAGACAGGGACACATCCCAAACGTTAAAAATACAAAGGCGTTTTCTGGGGAGAGAAAATCTGTGTCATCGTCCCCATCCGCAAATCCCCGGGGCAGCTTCGTCCACGAGGAGTGCTCACGCAGAGTCGCGGGAGCTGGGCACATGCTGCGGGGTGCTATTTTTAGGGCGTGAGGCTGGAAGTGGTGGGGCAACCCTGGGCTTTGCAGAGCGGGAGAGGTGCAGGTGGAGAAAGCAGCGCTGGCTGCAGGCGTGGGGGAATCATCACGTCTGATCCGTGGATGACACGAGTTGCTCGTGGGTGGAGGGAGAAATTAAAAAGGATCGCCCGCCCTCCCCCCCTCCCCTTCCCACCCGGAGCCTGAATTCGCGGGACAGTCGCCGTGGTGCGCGCTGCCGCCCTGCGCGGCTCCGAGGAGCGGAGGTGGCCTGCAGCACAGGCACCTGTGCGTGGCCAGGAGAGGGTCCTGTTCGTACCCGCGTCTCTGAGTTTCATGGAACTGGGAGCACTCGGACATATTTTAAATTCTAGAGCCTATTTGGGAGGGGGTGAGAGGCGCTGCCGCTGCGCCGTCCCGAGGCCGCACAGGGAGGGTTATCCCGGCGGGAGTCCGGCCCCACGCGGAGTCACGGACACTGCCCGTGGCGGGCGATTCAGCACTCCCCGGTCCCCGGCTCCGGCCCCTGCTGCCTCATGGTCCGTCCTGCCTGGCCACGAGTGTTCCTGTCGGTGCCTGCCCGGCCCCTCTTGTGCCTGCCTATGCTTGTCCGTCCTGCCCGTGCCTGCCCTTTCTGTCCGTCCTGCTTGGTCCTGTTTCTCCTGCCTGTCCCTGCCTTGCCCAGCTCGCATCTCCCTGGCATGCCCCCTTGACTAGCAACCCTCAGCCTCTGAAACTGGTGCTGTTCATCGCTGGCAGGCAGCTCAATTATTGGGCGCTGCACCCTCTTGCAGCCAACCCTCTCATCTGTAATAAGTAGGAGGGAAAGCTGCCTCCCGTGAGAAATGGGTGAGGAGAGGAGGTTTAGCGGTCAGCGATACCTTATCTCAAACCTGGAAGTGGCTCCCCGGACACTTACCATCACCAACTTGGATTGCAGATAGTGTTTGAAAGTTGGGGCCATGCTACCAAATATTTTACCACAGCTGTTTAACATTCCCTTACCCAGTTATTAAACAGAAATGGGAGTAAATTAAAATGGCAAAGTAAAATGAAATAAAAGCCCTCTTCATTCTACTAAGAGACAACACCTAATTAAGGAACATTTGAATTCCACAAAAATGCAGACTCTCCATGGTGATATAAAATTCCTCTTTTAAAACGATAGCCAAATACAAACTAACCCAGCTTAGAGCAAGCTTAGGCACGTCGGTCTCAGTCCCAGCTTGCCAAGGGCCAGCACAGGCCAAAGAGAGCAGCCTACTGCCTCGACTCTACCTCAGCCCAGATACTCTCGTGGTAGGGAGCCTCCTTTTGACTTTTATGTTCTCATTTCTTGCAGGACAAGGAGGTTGGCTTGGCCCAGAGCAGTTTTTCAGATTCCAAGTTAGCTGGTGGCGAGCCAGGGCAGCACCAGACACTAGCTTCAACGGCAGTGCCCAAGTGTGCCTAACTGTAGGGGACAGTCCTTGATCCTTTTTCCCCCTCTCTTCTAGCACAGAAAGGAAGAAAACTTCCCTTGAAACTGTTGATCATGCACTTCCTAAGAACCTTGGATTATTTTATGCTATACCATCCTCTGACCCAGGGCTCAGGACAATCTGTCCAAGATTTTTTTCAACAGTTACTTCATCAGTATTTAGGTTTCTGTTCACTGTTTGGCAATGTTCATATGCGTGATGCTTTTGCTGTTTAGTGCATCCTGCAGGGACTAGAGAAATATAACACGGCAATGAGATTAACCTGCTCCAATCACTGGGAGAATAGCTGTGGGGTTTGATGCTGGCAGGTGGCACCTGGGATCTTCCCAGGGATACAAGCCTGCTGGGTAGCGCTTGGAGAGGAAGCTTTGGGCTGGGTGCATACAATCCTGCAACAGATTGCTCTTAAATAGAAAACAGGGAAAATGAAAAGATCTTAAGCCCAAATGCAAAAAGGAACTGTGGGCATTGAGCTCCTCCAATGGGGCAGCAAAGCAGGTGAGTAGCCCCAGTTCCCCAAGATGGTAAAGACCTGGCGAGCTAAGAATTTAGAAGCATTTTGTAGGCATGTAAGTGGAGCTGTTCATTGTTTTGTAAGGTACCATAAAGCATGAGTCTGTCTGCCTCCTGGTTGCTCCAGTTCTGCTTTATGTTCTCCCCAAAAAGAGACCATTTCTGCAATTGCAACTAAAACCCCTCTTGGCACAGATAACACATACACGTACACACACCTGGTTCCCAGCCCTGCCTTCTGTGCAGGCACCGATCTCACCCAAATACCCTCAGATCGTGTTCATTAGGAGAGTAAAATCCACAGGGATTTTTCCAGGATATAGGGGAAAGAAAAACAACCTTGAAAGGAAGGCGATACT